ACTGCTGGAAGTTTTGATATTTTGCTGCTCTGATATCCTGTTCCTTTGGTGATTTTTTGTTTTGCACGTAATCCAACGAGCAACCCGTTCCCCCTTTTAACAATGTGTCAATGAGAAACTTTTGTGTTCTTGAATTACAGCAAAACCCATAATGGGCAAGATTGCGCTCGTTTTTGCGACTAACTAAACCGTCTTACAGTTGTATTATGTGTGATGTCCTTATAGTACACGCAAAGCTGGTTCCATGAGCTCTGTCTATTCGTATTAGCGATCATCGATCAACTGTCTCTTTTTCCCCCAATTTTCTTCATGGGGGAGATATGACTGTCATTTTTGTCCCCTCTCAATCGATGGAGATCAATCTTGTTTCTCTTTGAATTACTGAGGCAGAATGTTCAGGGGGATCTGGCTGGGCACCCATTAGTCGCAATGTAGGACACACTGGAAAACTTTTCTTTTTCGCATCATCAGTGTGTTTGGGGATTGGATGCCGTACATAGGCCTTACCGCTGGCAGTTTTGCATTTAGCCCTTGCCAATAAATGCGCCCACTTCGCAGCAAGAATAATTATATCTTTAAAAGGGAATCCCCCCAAATCGGTTTTCTTGGTACTACAGCTAGAACGTCCAAACATACTGCGCCCCTTTAATAGTCATTCTGGAGACAAAAATACTCGCAAGTCAGGTTCTTGAGCACCAGCAGAATTACCGTACAAATCATTCTCCGTCAGAGTCCACTTTATATGAAACAAAATAATTAACTACTGCGTGGAAATCTAATAAGTAAAAAGTTAATTTCCCGCAAGGGGGTAGGGCAGAATTTTAAGGATGGCGATTGGTAAATGGATACTACAGGTCTGGGATTTTGACGAGATTAAATTACTCTCATGATTTGGATACATGAAATCAAATTACATCAAATTACATTTCATTCATTTTGATGAAGCAAGAAGGCTTTTAGTGGAGTTAGAATCGGAATTTATCCCAAACACTTCTATTTCTTAAACGTTTTCAGTGAAACTAGCGACCAGACGATTCAGAGTGCATGTTACTTTAGGGCCATATTGATGGAATTTGAATGGGAAATTATTAGAGTGGAATCACGCCTGGAAACTCGATCTGACCCATTTGTTTTGAATGATCCAGTTCGGTATGTATATATTCCAACAGCGCATGTCAAAAAGTTAGGCAGCTACCCACGGGATATATGCCTCCGGACACGCAGATTGGCTGTGCACAGTCTCATCAGCGTGCATTATAGAGCAAGGGCCTTTGCCTGACACAAAGTCGATTGCTTTGTCGACCATTGTCTTTATTCAACTCAGTTTCCGTCTCAGGCTTAGTCTCTGAATCCAATCGCCGACTGAGCGCCTGAAGCATTTTACATTAAATTGACGAACTTTAATCTTTGGCTTTTTTGCATCTTACTTGATGTTTTGTGGCGCTATTAGACTTTCGATTGCGCTTACAACTTCAAAGTCAGGTAGTAAAAAAACAGTTGAAGCCTGCGACGGAGCCGAAATCGAGTATTGGAAACCGGCCCTAGAACGCAGTGAATGCAGAACTGATCTAATTTTCAATATTAACTACCCTGTCTGATTGATTGTCTATGCTCGGGAGAAATCACAGAAACAGGAGTGAGTGGCAATTAGGGCGCTGTGCAAGTATGTGTCCACATTGTCCAAGGCCTTTGGTCTGGCAGTTATTCTTTAGCCCCAATCAGGTGACAGAACAACGAACTGCTTTGGCGGAGAAAGTGTATAGATACGCATGAAAGGATACAGTTTCCTGGTGATGATATCCGACTATATGACATCTATGCGATCTGTCTATCTACTTCTAAACAGTCCCTGACGGCACCCGCTCTCCACAGTTAAAAATAAAAAAATTATCAGTACATAATTATTTCAACGAGGGCTGTTAAATATTACCCACGTGACGGGCTCTCCATCTGTGAGGAAGGGTAAACGGTCTGAGGTATTTTAAAACGGTTTATTGAAAACACCAGGTCTGCAGTCACTTACATAATAGGCCAATAAGACCTACTCAGGTTTAAAATTACTTTTTATCCCTTTTCGAAATGAAATTTTTGGGGAAACTCCGAATTCAAAAACTGGTACGTGTATTGAACCGAAGTGTCGGCACGCACGCCGATGTGTGTGTTATTAAGTGCTTGATCTGTCATTTTGGAGACGGACAGTCTGGGGGAGGGAGGGAGGGCTGAAGGGGCCACGCCCTCATTGGCGATAAGCTTATTCATTGTGACAAAAACCATAAGCATTAAGATTATCCGTCGTTCTCGTGTGCCTCCACTGGTACTGCATTGTGCCCCTTAATGCCCGAAGCTGGTGACGAGGCTTCCATAGAGAAACTGCGGTGTTCTATATTCGACAAAATTGCGTCGTGACGTGCCGTTGCCATCTTTCTCATTACTTATATGCTGTGTTTAATTCATTGCGTCGTGCCGTCGTGACGTCACATCATGCCGTCGCGACGTGTCGTTTCTTTATACCGTCTTGTCTTGCCGTCGTACCGTGCCGTCGTCACGTCGTGTCTTGCCGTCGTATCGTCAGTCGTGCCGTCGCGTCGCCTGTCTTTGTATGGTTTTATACCTTATGGGTTAGGCCGTCGGGTCATGCGGCCGTGCTGTCGCGTCCTGATGTCGTACCGTCGCGTCGTGTCGTCTCAGCGTCGTCTGTCGAATCGTGCCGTCAGGCCTTGCTGTTTCTAAAAATAGCTTGTGATTGTCACGGCAAGTAGCGGGCTTATGTCACAAGTCCTGGAAACAATAATGTGCGTGCATAGAGTACCGAAGTGTGACGTCACTGTGAACAAGAAAGTGCAGTGCAAACGAATGGAGTACGCGCGCGTGTTGGTTCACCCGCTGGTTCTAATGCCTTTTACACACTAATTGTGCGCGTGACGTATTCACCTCGGTACTCTATAGGGCCTACAAGATGTGATGATGTGATGGTATCTATTGGAACCATATAAACTTACGCGCCTCATTTAGCGTCTATGCAGTGAGTACACAGACCGGGGGTCTATGTGTTTATCCGGTTCGTAAGGACACAGACATGTCCGGTTCGTAAGTGTGACGTCACTTCAGTTTGAACCACGCCCACTGCACATACACTGCACACAAGGTTACATGCATTGATCACCGTTGACGTGGAACCATGGAACCGGAAGTTAACGCGCAACTTTAGCAATCGTCCAATGGGAGCCTGCAAATCATGGCGCGTCCGCCTTTGTGACGAAGTTACTTCCGAACCGGATACTCGCCGCGTAGACGCTAATTAATGAGGCGCGCAAGTTTATGCGCGTTTGACGCGGAGCACGCTGAGTACGCGTAACTAATTAGGACCTTTCCCGTGAAATATGCAAATTGGACCGGCGCATGCGCGCTACTACCCTTGTTTGGCAAGTGCAGCCGTCAACACTGTCGGTAGGGTAGGCGAGCTGCTAGTAACAATAACCTGGAGTGTTGTCGATCAATCAAAACCATATTACAGCCTTTTCCCAATACTTGAGCACGCTTTTCTCGAAACTAAGTGAAGTTTTCAGTGTCCTGAGGTTGGAAAGTAACAGTTCCTTGTCTTTAAATTTGGCACTTATGTCAAAGTATACTAGTACAGAAACGGCGATAGTGACGCGCGCATGGAGACTTGTATTGCTACGTCAAAGATTTAACCAGTGGTACTAATGTGCATGTGCTCGCCTTATTTGCGTATTTCATGGGAAAGGTCCATTCCGGAATGTAAGGTCTTTGCATACACGCAGAGCGGTTGTAAGAACCCACTTGTAACCACCTGCCTTTCTTTCGCCGTTTGGGGGTGCACTTCAGCTCCGGGCGGATACGCGCAAGACTGGCGGTCTATATGCCAAAGACATACAAACGCACAGACCACCGGTACGTCAAATCTCTTCTAATATGAACAAGATAGGCAGCTCTCGCCTTGATATGACCACATGAAGAAATTCTTGTAGTCTATAATTTGACAGGGAAAAATATAGTAGATTGCCCCTCTTGATTCAGAGAATTGTACAAGCTCAATCTGGGTTGTGTGTTAACGTGCTAAGTATACCTACACTTTGTGTTTGTAAATTTGTTTTTTAAATAATAGTACGTGTTATAATGATACAAGAAAAAATGAAACCATCATTGTGTTCTCTTACTACAAAAGCTTCCTTTCCCCCTGCTTCTCACCAGATGCTAAATGGGCGTCACCAGAGTTTATTGAGGAACCCTGGCAAAGCATCTTTTCCAAGGGGGATTTGTAGGGGTCAATGTTCTATTAAACCATTAACAATAAGAGGGGTAATTTTTTTTAAGCAAATTGTTATTTTTCATCATCACCCGTCTCTTTTTTTCCTTTTTTCGGTGGAAGCCCCCCGCCCCGTCTCGCGACACCCATATGCATGGTGCTGCTCTTCTCGTGATATAGGGCACTTTCCCAGGAGACGCCATAGGTGCAATACGTAGGCCTTCTGTCCTGCTGAATTTGTAGAAAACAATAATTTGAGAGGTTGATCGTTTTTGGGTTTTTTTTTAGCCTGACTGGCTGACATAGCCTTTATTTTCAACAGTTGACTAGGGTTGTTCGCACTTCACTGTACATGCGCAAGGCACATTAACCAAAACCTGTGTCCTTTCTCTACGGTTTACCTAGTGGTCCTTGATCGAATTTCCCCGTGAACGGTTCTTTGCACCAAAAATGAAGCCGGGTTCGAGTCCCGGATTGTCCCAGGCTTTAAGTGCATTTGGTTTTCAGTCCATTTCCGGAGGTTTTCTCCGTTTTTTTCCTGCCTCTGATTTGGACCTTCTTCCTAACTCCGTAATGTGATGCTGATTAATAAAGGTAACGAATAAACGTATAGCTATTGGTGCAAATAGCCTGGGTAGCTGAAAGCGCCATTAAAATCAAACAACTTGCCCGTACTGATCGTAGAATTTACATGTCTGATGTGCTGATCAGCGACAAATTTACGCCCTCAACGTTAAAGCTATGCTTAATTATTCAAGATGGCGCTCTCCATGTGACCCTCATCTGCAACACGCGCCACGCAATAAGGGAGAGTGTTTTCACAATTAGAGGAGTTACTGCAATCTTTTGAGAGTTTCACGAGTGAAAACAATGAACACCATCCAAAAGAGAACGCTTCGTGTTCTAGTAGAGAGGTTAAGACTTCAGGAATCGCTGTCTACCTGGTGTGGTCATTCCCACGGGTCGCTACGACGAGCAGTTCGCATTCCAGTTGGCATGGTTGGCAATCATGCCGCAGCCTCCGATAATAACCACCATGATCATAACAGACGAAGCACTGCACGGCTAACACATTCGTGGACGAACAGGACAAGCCATAGAATTCCACCTCGCAGTTCACCCAATTATTTAAATCTGTCCCATAGTTGTTCAGTCAAGAGAAATGTTAATAATAGGCATTACTCTGAGTCGGACAACAACGGTGAGAAGAATATTTCCACCCTGTTCATCCCTGTGCCGGTCAAAGTGACTTTTAACCCAGATGATATCAATATTGGGGAGGAGTTGGGAGCCAGTCTCAAGGATAAGAAAGGTAATTCTCACAAAAAATGCTATGAATTGTTTACCAGTTATGCAGCCAGTGCTGGCAGTTGACTTAACATGTGTCATGCTTCAGTCATGTCAACTATGTCTGTGAACACTTATGAATGGTTCTTGGTTCTTTTCTTCCCTTAGAAATGTCTTTCAGGGTTGGCAATCAAATGTAGCATTTTGTTTTACAAAAAAGTAAATAAAAGGAAAGAGTTCCACATAGGGACAAGACTAATTTTCCTTTAAAATGTTATAGCAGTTGTCAGAAAGTGATAAATGTCCTAACAAGTGAAATTTAGCTGAGAAACTTCTTAAGCATTTACTCAGTAAACACTCATTTTTTGAGACAAGTCTCATAGGTTTGTACACAGGGGCATCAAGTGTTGTTTGTATATGGAACTCTCTTCAAACAAAATAACAATAAAATTACAGTGAGTTGGAAACTATCAGTAGAATTAGACATCAAAACTCGGAAACTGTCCTTAACTTCAGAGATGTCCCATTACATGTGTTTAGAGACAAAACCAATCCCCTAGTTTTGGAGATATTTTCTCTTTTGGGGGACTGATTTTGTCCCCGACTAAAGAGACTTCCTTGAGTTTAGGGACAGTCTCTGAGTTGTGATGTACATGTACCTCTATCGACCATAGCACCTTTGGTTGATCTGCGCAATCACTTGATCTCTGTATAATCGCTGCGCATTCTGTCAATAATTGCAAATGTACAGATGGTTGCCTTTTCTTCGTGCTTTCTTATTCAGTCCTGTAGAAGATCATACAGATCAATTAAAAAAAGGAGTAAGTTCAAAGATTTCATATGATCGATTGATACCCCAAGGTACATGTAATTGCATGGAGGTGCTGATTGACTGCTTGTAAATGATACAGACATCCTATTGATCTTAATTTGAAAGATTCCTTACAGATACATGTGTACGGCAAAGTCAGGTGGTCAAAAGACTTAAGATTCATTTGAAGTCAATCAGTTTCTGTATTTGTTATCATAGCTGAGTTGCTGAAGGTCCTGAATTCATTCTACAGAAGGAAAGAGATACAAAGACTGGCAGCAGAAAATGGATTGGATGGTAAGAGGCATTTTACAGGCTAGGAAATTTTGTGATTTTGTGTTCTTTGACCACTTCATGCCAAATGACATGTAAACACACTTTGACTGTAACACATTGGATGTTAGGGCTGAGTCAAGTCGAATAATTTACTATTCAAATATTCGACCTTCGAGTCGATCGCATACGCGAATATTCAGTCGCACCGACCGGCAGATTGTTGAGCAACAAACCATGTACAAAATCAGTTGCAATAATGCACACAATTGCACAAGTACATTACAGTCACTATAATAGCTTCTCACGTCTATGAGTATCTCCAGCCACGATTTAGCAAGATTTAAGAGACAAATAATACTTCTTTTCCTGTTGAAAATGTATATTCCTTTAAAAAATTTTTTAATGTACTTTTTAAATCGATGTAAGGTTTCTGGCACTTTTCATTTGAATCTGCTTGGAATAAGCCTTCATAGTGCAATTTTTCTCATTTAAAACAAAAGAAAATTCTCCCTTTTCATGAATTTTGCATTTGAATATTCAAATTTGAAAAATAATATTCAAATATTCGACAGTTGATTGAATATTCAATTACTTGGATATTCGGCACAGCCTAATTGGACGTACAAACATGTCACAGCAAATTCTGTACATGTATATATGATTGGGTAGTGTCTTTCTGTACTTAGCTCTACTCATGCTTCAGTCATTCCTGTTGAGGCTGTACACATGCAGGCCTGAACTAGTCTGTAGGGTTAGCATGTGGGGAGCCTTCAAACAGCCAATGGCCCTATGCTGGGTGTCATGACATTGGTTTCAAAAAAAGCAAAGATGTGGCAAGAAATGCCACTCAACTCTTGAACAAATGACCTTCAAGGGTCAGCATTTTTAAAGTCCAACTGTGGTTGTGTTATCTTGCCATTTTAACAAGTTGGTATTTTTGAATAATACCATTGGCAAGTGGTAAATTTTAAGCATACTAAACCCCTCAAAACCACCAGAATGTTTTAAAGTAGGATTTGCCCAATTGGAATAGGCACTGCCCGGATATTGTTACCTATGGTGTAGGCTGCTGTTAGTATCCGCCCAGTGGGTGATTGTGGAGTATTTTGGGAACGTCAACGGCAAGAGGGCAAAGGATGAAGTTAAATACACATGTAATCAACAGCTTTCATTTTATTGCTTCAGAAATACGACATTTAATTTTCTCGCTTCAGAGCTTCTGTTCCACCAGGCTTTTGTGAGCTTCCGCAAGTACATCGTGGAAGTGGAGTGTCTGGAACCAGACCTGCACATTGTGCTGAGCGACATCTTGGCAGGTGCAGGCCATGTGGATGACATCTTCCCTTACTTCCTTCGCCATGCCAGGCAAGTCTTCCCTGCCTTGGATTGCATGGATGACTTGAGGAAGATCAGTGATCTAACTGACCCAGCACAGTGGTGAGTGAGTAGGTTGTCGGTAAAGATGCTTAGTATGGGAGCATACATGAATGCATTATACGATAATGAAGATCACGAGTGCAATGGTAATGATTTCATGAAGTGGCAGATGGAATGTTCTATTTCATGTAGCGAAGCTAAGTGGAATGGAATGGAACATTGAACCTGTCACCAAATGGAATTGTTCTTTCCAATGCACCAATGTGAAACATTAGTTGTTTAACACAATGCTAGAATAAATCTTCTTTGTACACAAGTCATGGTGAAAGCTTTTATACGTCTCATATTATTATGACACATCATCTTTCACCCCCATCACATGGATCTCATCAGCGCTGTCTTGTTACTGGTCTGATTAAAAGGCAAAATGGAATCTTTATACATATATTTGGAGTTTGGAATCCTTGGTAACACCACACAAAAACGGGGAGGCAGAGGACTTAAAAGGCCCAATTGCTGTAGTAGTTTTTCATTTTTAACAGGTACCCCGATGCGAGGGCCATCAAGCGGAAAATTGTCTTCCATGCTGGCCCCACCAACAGTGGGAAAACCTACCATGCACTAGAGAGCTTCTGCTCAGCCAAGTCGGGCGTTTACTGTGGGCCGCTGAAGCTTCTTGCAAATGAGGTTCACATGAAGACCAATGACAAGGTATGGTAGTGGTCAGTGAACAGTTTGCCTCAGGGTAGGCAAGATGCAATGATGAGTTTTGCGAAATCTTACTTTCCATTGATGGGTGATTTAATTGACCTAAAACATAATGAAGTCACCCTTTCCTCTAGGAGCTTGATGGATTGCATCCCACCTCACTGCCATATGAAAGCACACATGTAAACAAAGCATGACGTCATTGTGCAACAGGTCTATAAAACAGGCATGCTTGGCAAAGAGGGGACGCGGGTACCATTGAAGACCAGGCAGAGCTGTTAACGGTGGACTAAACTGGATGCTGTCTGACACTAGATGGCACTGCTGTTTTGCTAAGAGTTTCTCTATTTTGCAGACACGAACATCAATGAACAAGGACGTCATCCTCACCTCCCTCTCTATTGACACCCTTGCCCGTATCTTAAAAGTCTCTCTGTTGTTCTCAATATAGTAATAAATGTACACACTTTTATTGCAGGATAAAAGGTATGTGCATACCACACATACAGTCTATTCACCATGCAGCTGCTGGTTCAATGGGGCCTGCTGCTGGACAAAGCCCTCCATTCAGGGCATACCACAGCCCAGCAGTCGAGGTCAAAATAATCCCGCCGCCGTGAAGGGATTAATGTCTTCCATGTTGATTTCATTCAACTTCTCATTTCTTTGTTGTTGTTCTGCAATGCTCAGGGAATCATGTGTGATCTTGTGACTGGGGAAGAGAGACGGTACACCCATCCCGAGGGAATACCCGCCAGCCATGTTGCCTGTACCGTCGAGATGACCAACGTGAACCAACCATGTAAGAAGCAGAGGAATTGCCAAAAGTCAACACAATCTCGAACGTCGAATCTTGAATGCAAACGTCTTTCAGCATAGATGTTGTAACATTGCTGCATACTTTTAGCGTTGTAACTGTTGATGGCATTCCAACTTAAGCCACACCCACTCACGTCGTATAGCAATGGAACCATTGGAATTGGAAGCAGTGCAATATTGGCTTATTAGCCAGTGGTTGTTCATAATTTGCAGAGCATGTGCATGTAAGGCCAAGTCGCTGACCAATTAGATTGAATTTCACCACCTGTATTAGTACTGTAGCATATCCTGTAGCACATCCTGCAATCACAGCCCATGAAACACAAGCAAGAAGCAGTCTCACTGAGTAGCTGAGCCCAGAAGCCTTGAAAATCACAGTACCCCTGGGGGATTTGTGTGAAAAATGTGCACAAAAGCTTTTGTGAAATACATCTTGAAGTTGGTCTGCTCTTGACAAAAACATCTAGCACAAAATAAAAACACTGGCAATTATTCACAACAGACTGGCAGCAGTTCAACACATTTCAACCATGCCATTCTTCACTGCGAAGTCAGGTATTATATAACATCAAACTCACTGAAGGTTTCTTTTGGGTGAAGCACTGTTTGACTGATGATTCACTGTCGTATGAACTTGAGACCTGTTGTAGCCTACATAAATTTGTTGTCCCAATCTTGCAGCAAAATCTCCAGATTTTGATGATCAGATTAATTTGTGTGTTTTTGTTGTTCATTTGTGTAGATGAAGTGGCAATTATTGATGAGATTCAGATGTTGAGAGATCCTGCTCGGGGTTGGGCCTGGACCAGAGCCTTCTTAGGTAGGAGAAGAACTAGCTTTATGTGCCTATGAGAGGAAAAACCTTGCTGTCAGTTCCACAAGACATTACAAAATGCATGCCATATTTAGGATGCGTTTATGAAGCTTGAGCATTACAGACCTCATGCCTTGATACAAGGAGAATCCTCATAGGCATATTCCTGACATTTGCATAAAATGAGGGTGTTTTATTTCTCTAGAACTGGGCTTCTACTCTCAATTTTGTTTACCAAGAAAAGGTTAACGATTTGTTACTCTGGGAAAACAAAGCTGACATTTCCAGCATTAGTCTAGATTGGAGATAAGCTTTCTGACTAAAGTCGTCCATTTGTGATTTGTTTGCCTCAGCTATGCAATCTTACATGACTGTACATTACATTGAACAGTTCGTGGACTGGCAAACTGTGTAACTTTAGAAAAAAGCAATTTTTAAACCATGGTCCACTGCACCTTTAGTCCTTCAAATGTCAGTAAAACCTTTTCATGATAACGGTTGAAATTTGTCAAATTCCATGGCGTTGGCAAGTCATAAACATTGGCATGTTTTCATGCTTGGCCCAAAATAAGCTGGTATTGAGTCATTAGATGACAGGGTTTGTCCTAGAATGTATTTCTGCCGAGCATAGCACTTTTATGAGGTGGGCCCCCTACTTAACGTCTGAATCCTTACTAAAAGTCCAATTGTTGATTGGCAGGGGTGGCTGCCCAGGAGATCCATCTGTGTGGTGAGGCAGCCGCTATCAGTCTCGTCCAACAACTGGCAGCAGCCACTGGAGATGAGATGGAGGTCAGACACTACAAACGGCTCACATCACTCAAGATACTAGACCAACCGTTAGGTAATCTTGACCTAGGTTCATTTTGCAGTGCAAATGTAATGCTCTCCGCGATCTTATAATTTAGCAGGGTGCCAGCCAGTGTGAGACAAGCACAAAGTCCTTACATTTTATTCTACTGATTGGAACTCGTCAATGAGCAGGGGGCTTGGGGATTACGGCCTGAATAAAAAGCGCCCTCAAGTGTTATGGGAACATTGTAAGTGAAGTTAACTGGTTCTCATTGTGTCAGAGTGAAAATAGCACTAGGGAGATTGGAACCAGTCCAGAATTTCATGCGTACATGTTATGTGTATATGTGAATGCTTAATACGTGCAGGTATACGCATGTTGCACATGTTGTATCTAAATCTGGCTTCGATCATAAATGCTACAACAATATTACTGAATATTAATGTTGGCAAACTCATCATGTTCATTCCACAAGAGTGTGGTAAACTTCTTTGCACATAACTGGTGAAAATCCAATGAAAAAACTCACAGTTTTTGCCCCCAAGAACTGGGCGTCCTATTGTCTGATTTTTAAAAATTTTTGCAAGCGTGTGAAGACGTTCCTTATTAGTACAACTGTGAAGTTGGTGGTTTTTGTTGATATGGTCATTTGAAGTTCAAAGCTACATGGTGCCTACTGCTTGCATTGAACTACACATTTTTCTGCTGACCTTTTGCAGGACAGTGGGCGCTGCACTAGTGTGGAAGGTTCATTTTTTCATAAAAGCAGTGTCAAGATAATGGCAAAGAGTTTTACTTGAAAAACTCCTAAAGGCTGGGCATGTGAAAAAAAGGACTACTGTGATATCAGAAAAAATTTTGAAGGTGGGCTGATTCTGACTGCACCATCACTCTTTTAATGACGTTGTGTAGCATGTCATTTACTTTGATGTCATTGGTTATTTGTAGAAAGTCTAGAGAATGTCCGTCCTGGAGACTGTATTGTGGCTTTCAACAAGAACGACCTGTATTCAATAAGTCGACAGTTGGAAGCCATGGGGAAAGAGTGTGCTGTCATCTATGGTAGTCTTCCTCCTGGTGAGTAAGGGAGTGTTAGGGCCTAAAGCTTAGTCTCCAAACGGTAGTAACCATCACCAACAGCACAGCCGACAACAGAAAAGTTGATCATGATCCAACTTTGCTGACTTTCAGCATTTTATGTCGTATCAGTCACGATGGTGTGTTTCCATATGATTGCGTATCTTCCAGGACTGTTCCACGATGCTGTCTGCTTCTCGTTATGCTGATGTGAAAACTAGGCTTATTGTTAGCACCATAGTTGTTTAAACAAAAGATGAAAGTTTAGCTCAGTCTTTTTCTTATAAATCCCTAAACAGCTGAGGTCGAAGAAATGTTACTGGGATGTGAAAGGCTTTTCTTGCTAGGACATTGTTGTGACAGTGCGGATATTTTCACTGCCATTCTATTTAACAGGTACAAAACTAAGCCAGGCTAAGAAATTCAATGATCCTGATGACCCTTGCAAAATCATGGTAGCCACAGATGCAATTGGAATGGGGTTAAATTTGTGAGTATGTCATTAGTTGCAATAAACGTGGAATGAAAGTGTACATTTATAAATATAACTAAGTGACATGTTAAAATTAGGAATTATTAATGAATGAAACCCCACTGATGGAGAATCACATCCTTGTCAATTCCAATCCCTTTAAACAGACAGTTTACCAGAGATCATCATGCTTTACTCATTTTTATTGTTGTTGGACTCAAAAGGCATCGTCCAACTGTGAGTGGATCCACCTGCATTCTCTTTGCCTAAAAAGTCACATGATATTTGCATGGTCCCTATATTCCTAGCCATATTTTGGGTTCAGCTGGTAAGCCAAATAAATATCTCAATTTACAACATTTTAAGGCACTACTTGAAAAATTTATGGTGGTTTTATTTCCAATAAGGAAAGCTGCATTGATTGTTTGTCTTCTGTTGTAAATTTTTTAACTTTGACTTTGATCTTAGCAGAAAACAAAGACCATTCTGGCTACCAGGATGCAACATGGCGGGTGTAGTGTGGCATCATAATATTTTTGGTCTATCCAGTAGTCTATTGTCTGCCAAGGAGATGTAGTTTTGATGCTGTTGCTTCCAAACTATTTATCCTTGGCAGGAGCATCAAGCGCGTCATATTCAACTCGTTGATTCGACCAATCATCAATGAGAAAGGCGAGAAGGAGATGGATAGGCTCTCTACCTCTCAGGTAAGGTAGAGTTGAAGCAAATGTGACCCATTGTAGAAGATGGAGGAGCATCGTCGAATGGTCAAATAATCTTGTCTAATTTCAATGTTGCACTAAAGTTGACCAACTGGCTTTCCTAACAAAAAGAGGGGGGGGGGGAATTATTGCAGTGATTCTTGGGCTACATTGACTGCCCCAAGTGGAACATGATGGGGCATGGTTTTACAGGTGCACAACTGTCTTTTGGTGGCAACTCACTGTTTTGTATGTGCATGCACATTTTTGTCGGATGCACTAAGTACACGTATATGCAACCGATTTCTGTCTGAATGTATGGTCTTTGCTTCTGCGCCGGGCCTGACAAACTGCCCACCAGCCTGTCTCTTTGTGCTGGTGAGGGTGCACTGCAACTCGAGGGCCAATTTCACAGAGCTATTTAAAACAAAGGTTACCAGCTAAAACTCTGTGTGATTGTCGTGCTAACCGAAAGACAGCCAAGTACGATCCCAAAGCAATATACATCACATGTTCTAATCCACCCTTCAGGCATTGCAGATAGCTGGTCGAGCAGGGCGGTTTGGAACCCAGTTTGAGGAAGGTGAGGTGACCACGTTCCTGAGCAGCGACTTGCCCACACTCAAGGAGATCCTTGCATGCTCAGTGGAGAGCATTGAGGCGGCTGGACTGCATCCTACGGCTGAACAGATTGAACTCTTTGCCTATCATCTCCCAGATGCTACCCTCTCTAACCTCATAGTAAGTATAGCCTAGGGTCATTGTTAATCCTATCTAGGGCCATAACAGGTCCCTGGTAACCTGATACTCAACCAACAAGTGACATGCACTCGGTCTTGTTTCATTTTCCAAAATCATTTGCACACATTCAAAACAGTTTTTTGGAAGACAGCACAAATGTTCAATTTAAAATGTGACTGCCAGGGAATGAGTGCCTGCAAAATAATATCTGCTTTATTTTTAGCTTAGTAATAGAAATAAATAGTAATTCAATGCAGTAACAGGTTGACTTTTCCTCTCCGCTCAGCTTTGCCTTGTGGAATTGAACAATCTTTCACCTTGTGAAATTATTCTTTTCGTTGCACTCTTAAACAGGCATTATTTGCTTGTAAACCATACCTCTTGCATATTCATGATTATGAGCAGAAATACCACCTGTCTATTCACCATCTCGTACCAGTTGCTATTTTTGCTGTTTACTAGACATGCACGCGAGGATCGATGTATACTTGTAAATCGTTCCCCTGCTTGCCCAGGCTTCACCTTGGGAACCAGCTTGTCAATTTCCAGTACCTTGGGGAGCTAACGTTGCATGTTCACCCTCACACCATGTTGTATTTGTATATTATTCAACACCTGCATTAATCCCCATCATCTGATTGGGGGATCGTTGATCACATGGCATTGAATTATTTGTACCAACACACTGCTGGCACGCGCGATGCATACGCAGAGTGCAAAAAATTTATTGACAACTGTGCGTTAGAAATAGCTAACGAACACCTCTGGATCGATTGCACTGCCGCTTCTGCGTGGTGGGGCTGTGGCGAAAAATATTCAAAGTAAACATGGCCGACTTAGATCCGACATTCACGATTTAATTGATGAGCTTGTCAATGCAGCTGATGCTACCAGTACTATTAGAGACAAATATAATATGCTACAAGTAAACCAATCAGATGACGAGGATTTATACAGGTGTTGCAGAGAACAAATGATGAATGTTTCATATTCATGCGATGGTATGAATATTTGCATTTGGTAACATATGTATACTGTCCAATGGATACCCAACCACATGAGAAACAGGTACCCAGTTCGAATGAAAAACCCATTGATAGAACACCCTTGTTGAGTGTTGTAGCTTGATGAAATTCCCCTGTGTGTCTGAGTAACTAGGGCTGAGTAAATTTGAATAATTCACTCTTTCAATATTTGACGTTCAGTTCGATCGAACATCTGAATATTCGGTTATACCGACCGGCAGATCGTTGATGAACAAATCATATACAAAATCAGATGCAATACCACACACAATTGTACATTATAATCACTATAATAGCCTCTCACTTCTAGGGATATGATTTCATCTAGGATGGCACCATATTTTTGTTTTCTGGTTTTCTGCTCAGGACATCTTCGTGAATCTGTCCAAAGTGGACAACAACTACTTTGTCTGCAATGTAGACGATTTCAAATTTCTGGCTGACATGATTCAGCACATCCCACTGCATCTGAGGGCACGCTACGTCTTCTGCTGTGCACCAATCAACAAGAAGCACCCCTTCATCTGCACCATGTTCCTGAAGGTATGACGTTGTTGCTGGTCCATTCTGTACCAAATCGTACAAAATTAGGAACCTCTCACATGCCTGGAAAGTGTCTAAAGATACTTTTTTTTTTTTTCACTTTACATCGCTATTTCCTACATAAACTAGTTCTATGTTACAGAGATAGTTTTTAAAGCCCAACTGAACACCCGTGCAGCATTGATTCATTGTATTTAGTTTTTGCACAACATTGTTCACTCTGTTGTGGTCGACACCCTTTAAGACCATCACAAGACTGCCACAGGACCGATGGCAAGACCATCACCAAACCAAATTTAGACCGTTCAGGCTGAATTTGAGTCACAAGCTGTTCAAATGAACTGCAGCAGAGGTCACAGGTATTCCTGTGTCGTCGTTTACCCGATTACTTTTGCAACCGGTGCACATGTGAATTCATGACAGACATGCAATGTTACCAGAACCCAGGGGCTGTGCACTGAATAGCTGGGCTAATTTACTGCTCAAGTGTTTGGTTAAACAACCGTACTTAGGGCGGCAACAGCATTTTTGTATTGTAAAGCGAAAGGGTACCTCCAGTCTTTGATCAGACTTTTGAAGCCAAGGTCTTTACCTCAACTGGAGGATGACCTTTGACCTTGATCAGTGGATGACTCATAAATTAAACTAGACATCTGACCTTGCACAGTAACACAGGCAAAACCCCCGAATGTCTCTAAGTTGTACTGGTTGCTGTGTATGTTGCCCATTTTACCTTCCATTCAAATCCGTGTGTGAACATAGTGATGACATTCTATTGGGCCGACACATAGCCAATGTGCAAATAGGTTCATTTACATATAATGCAGAGCATCCACAATCTTTTCTTTAATATTGGAATGTACATTCTGTGGTTGGACAGCAGATGCCCAATGTAAATGGTCAGCATAGCCTTACATAAATTTATTAGTAAGGGGAATACTAATGCTTGGAATCAGTACTCTGAGTGGTACACGTGTGTGCTGACACTTGCGCCAATGTGGATATGTCACTGAGTTGATACCTACACCGTAGGTCTTGAGGACCCTGAAACAATCTTTATCCACAACATACTGAGGCCACGTTGTACTTATCTACTCTTATTGTGCGTGCTCTTTGTCGTTGTTACAGTTTGCCCGGCAGTACAGTCGTAACGAGCCCATGACCTACGACTGGTTCTGTCGACAAATTGGCTGGCCACTCTCCGTACCCAAGAACATCCGGGACTTGATGCATCTAGAGGCTGTACATGATGTCATGGACCTGTATCTATGGATGAGGTAAGGGAAAGTTGTCCAGCTATGGACTCTGATTGCATTCTCAATGGTGACAGTGCAAAGTCACACAAGGAGATGGTTGCTCCGTTATTCAGACCTGAACTCCTATCATGTAGAGATAGGAAGATTGGTGATGCCCTTCCAGTTACTGTAGCTCACAGTCCCAAAGAAACCTGCCGAGGAGACGGAGAAGACAAATCAGTTTTAGAGTTAGGAAGAAAACCCCCGGCAAATTCTCCAGGAAAGACTCACAGAATCATGGAGGGACTGCAAAACCCAATTTAAATATCGGTCTGGAGGAGATCACGTAGAGGTGGAGGACAAGGGAAATACCAGTGTGCCAAGCTGACTGTACTTTGGGAATGCTGCCCTCTAGTGAATAATCTAGTCGACCTAAATCTTCAATTACTTGCACATGTGAAACTCAACTCTTACTTCCTTATGCATGGATATTGACTTGACCTGACACCTCGGTCAAAGGTCATACAGACAACAGATCGCTCGCCAACCATTGACCCTAACTCATTGTGTGAGCGAATGCGGCTGTGATCAGGCATTGTGATTGGTTTTACTGAAGGTGATTAGTAGGAACCATTAGGAATTTCATGGAGTTTGGGACTATTAAGATGAATATAACAATCTCCTTAGACGAAGCACACTTGTGCTTTAGAGGACCTTGAAATGAAAGATCAACTTTTGAGGACAAGAGGGAACCTTTTATTGTTGGTTTGTGTTGCCACCCTGAATCAGAATAGAACACATGTACACAAAAGTCTATTTGCTGTAGGGATTTGACACGTCACATGAATGTTGTAAAGCACCTAAAGTACTTTGATACTGCTTTTGTCCTTTGCAGCTATCGCTTCATGGACATGTTCCCGGACATGGTCATCGTTCGTACCATACAGCGGGAACTGGACGACATCATACAGGAAGGGGTCATCAACATAACCAAGTTGATCCGAGCCACTGAAAGCCGGTCAGCCAATGGGGTGACGTCGCTACCAGATGACGACATAGAGAGAAAGAAAGGCATGGGCAAATCTGCAGGTACATTTGTTGTGTAAACATAACCTCTAATCCTCTCAGCTCCTTCAAAACCCACTTGGAGATTTGAAAGGTTTTGTAGGACTTAAAGGTTCCTTGAGGTAAATTTTTTTGGACACACTTTTTGTACAATTGTGTACTCCTCTGTAATTTGTGAAAACTTTTTGTCACCCTTTTTAGGTTAAATGTATTGAAAAGTGAACTTGTTTGAACATTTTTTATCATTGTACATGCTTTTCTGGACAACTGTAGGTGCTGGTGTTTTTCTGTTTGAATTGTGAACCTCAATATTTCTGAGGAAGGTTTCTGTGTTGGCCTATTGCCATACACCGACACAACAATTAGGAACCACCATAGACAAGTACATGCTGGACAGCCAAATATCAAAAGTTCAGGAGTTTGTGCAGAAATCAATTCAATGTTGAGGCTTTCAGCCCAGAACGATGTCACAGGAATGCACCCTTTTTAATGTTGTCAGACCATTTCTTGAAATCTAGTGCAGATGGAGAGTTCCTGATTAAAACGTTTTTGATGCTTCACATACTGAATGGTAATTTATTTGGCCCAAGCAATGTACGTTTGCTTCCCGGACCTGACATCTGCCTAGCATAGAACATTAACCACTTGCTGCCGGGTGGATTTTTCTTGAGCAAGACAAGATATCAGGTCATTTTCAAGATTTTCCATTTTCAAATTCTTCAAAAATTCATCATTTCATTTAATGGCCTTTTATACCAACATGAAGGACTCTTTGGGCACTACTCTAAAGCTGACAGGTAAATTAATTGACTCCTGAATATTTCAGCCAGGCCTGCAGCCTTGGAAAAAGAGCCCAGATTGTGCGGTGTTATGTAAGATTCTTTTGTTCCCGAAACCGGCACAGTGCACTACTGACCTCTTTTCAATAGGGGCCAGGTTAGCGTGCAGCAGTGCTGTGTGGCTCATCGCTGCGGTGGTGGAGAGCTTTTGTCCCCGGTGGTAATCTGCTCACTCTAAATGCCCCAAACCGTGGTATACTGTTTCAAAACAAAGCTGGCTTATCTCCACTATTGACAGCGAAAAAGTGTCGGTAATGCCCAGCAGCTCAGTCTTTTGTGCTGAGCACGGTCTTTTGTTATAAGGCCCAGCTCTTTTGTCCCAGTTCCGGGCTCCCCCGCTCTGCATATAAAGCCTATGTACTCGAAAACGGGTCGCCTGGCAGGAAGTGGTAAATAAAGGAATGAAATCACTCTGTAGTGGTTTAAACTGGTACATTTAAAATAAGATAGGTGCCTTTCAGTGATAACGGACTCAGCTTAAGGCCCTACCTCTTTAAAGCTTCCCCATCACAATTTAATTCCCTTCTCAAATGTCTTTTTTTGTGTAAAGGTCAAATTTGATTTCATGATGAATAGTTGTACTATGACTTTGTCAGTTTTACCTCGCGTTTTGTGACACAGATCTCTAATCATATTGTTGGTGTATGCCTTGTGTGTATTGACTAAAATCTTCATTACATCACCATGTAATGTATGGACATTGACGCGTGTGATGCACACTGTGCCAAGTGAAGTTTTAATTCTATGAGATACAGAGTCATTGGTTATCTGAGCATGCCTGCGCAATGATAAGTAGGCTAGGTATCGTCTTGTATGACGGTCACAGTCCATAAAATGGTCCAAATTTCACCTAAAACCTGAAAGTGTTTAAAACTAGTATTTCATCATCTATTAACAAGCACCCATGTGACAGGCTCTTGGCCAGTAGGAATGGGCAAAGTGTCTGACGGACTCATGCATAAAATCCTGTAAATGGAACATGATTATGTCTGGAATATCCCTGACAGACTCCAAGAGGAAAACCAAAGCCAAGTCCAGGGAAAAGAGCCAAGCCAGGTCTTATGGGAGCTCCGATGAGGAGGCAGACGGCAGCCAGCTGGACCAACGGAAACTGAGCTCGGTGTCGGGGCGCCTGAGCAAAGAGCTTATCAAGCAAGGCCTGCTGTCGGAGGAAGTGCTGGATCAGCTGCACAGGGAATGGAAGAGCTCAGGAATGGGCAAGGCCAAGGGGAGTAAGGGAGGAGGAAGTGGCAGGAAGAAGAAAAAGAAATGAAGCAAGACACCTGTGATCAATCATGTGCCAAAGGAATTAAAGACCGGCTAAATTGTACTCTTGCATTTGATCCTGATACAGTGCATATATCACACAGCATACATCCCAATATAGTTAACTTATCGATATAACATATCGATATAATTAGCATACCATGTTCATTACATCTGAAAATATTGTCATTATTTGCACCCATTTTATCAATTCATACATTGCAGTGCATGCATTCGTTCCTTTGACACAGAGATTTATGTTGGTTTTTTTTTTCCACTGGGTTTATATTTCAAATCGTCAGCAGGCCACAGATGCCCGTTGAATGTCAACCTTTACTTTGGAGGTGGATTTTGGGAAGTAGCCTAATCCGAAGATGGGATATCCCCAAATGGCAAATTTGTACATTTACATTTAGCAAACATGAAGTATGGCAGTACAGATTTTCACCATGATGCTGTGTTGTGGCATGGGTTTGTCAGCATTTTTGACCCATCAATGAATTAGTACACCTTGTAGGTTCTCGTCTAGGAAATGAATGTGTGGGAAACAAGCTAATAAGGGAAGAAGATCCTAAAGTGACATAATAGCTGTTTCAGATGTCACAGACATGCAAGCAGTGAAGCTGGCATTCAATCGGCTGAGACTGAACTTCAAGACCGTACTTTGTAAGGTGCAAACTTGCTGAAGGATTGTAAGGATGTTTGGTACTTCATTGTTGGTACTTCCTGTATCATTAGTGTGAAATATCAGGGGCTTGGGCCGAAGTTCAGACATCTGTCTCCGGTCAGTCTTGATTTCAAGACTTCATTGTAAGTTCCCATGATAGCTGACCGCCGTAAGAGGTTGCTATCATGACAATAACAAACTGCTATCACATTCTGCATTTTGCCATGATAATACCGTCTCATTATTGCATGTTTTATAACAACTTGAAACCAAGACTAGTCCCCAGTTTGAGGCCTTTTTCTGACTCTCAAATGTCTTCAGGACTGCTATTTTTAATATTCTCAATCATCTGGGATTCAAACTCAGTTCTTATTATATCACAAGATTGTTACTGACTGCAGTTATAAAAGTAAAAAAGTTGTATCTTCAAAATAAAAAATCATTTTAAACCAGATTTGCTGCACTGTTGGTGAGTGACAAATATATTGATTTCAGTCATCATGATTGTGTTTAAAAACTGCTTTTTTGGACAACCGTTAGAGTAAAAATTGGTAATTTTGGGATGTATGAACCTCTGTGCTCTTTCTCTAAAGAGAAGTTGGTCTTCTTCACACCCATTCAAATGGACTTGGAGTTGATTACACTTCTAATGATTAATTTTAAAATGTGTACATTCTCTACTATTACGAATGTTTGTGCACTTGCATACAAAGCAGTGAGAACATGATTTGGTCAGAATTATTTGGAAACTGTTTTCAAGTCCCAACACTCTGTTCCAATATTTCAAGAACCCCTCAATTGTCAGTTTCTGTGATGATACACTTATGTTGCAGAAGCATGCATAGAGTAAACTACATCTGCTCTGTCACCATATACCAGGCAAGATATGGGACGGAGGGGTACCCCCCTTACCTGTCCAATCCCTATACGCACTCTTGACTATTGTTACCTAACATCCCCCCTAGAAGTCTGTAAAGAATTCCTGAGATTCCTATCAAACAATGACCAACACAAAGGCGGGGGGGGTTCTGTCCGTCACTTCACTATATGCAGAAACAAGAGGGTGTGCTTTTATGTATTTGCTGGGAAGTCACTGCATGCTTATATGCACATATGCGCATTTTGGCGTGGACTGCCGAGCATGTGCAACAAATTTCAGTTGGAATGTGTGGTCTTTGCAGGTGCACCAGGCACCCAATTGAAACAATTCCAACCTACCTGTCTGTTCTTAGTTGATGAGAATTTGCTACAAGTCAGGCTGGATTCCCACAAGGACTAAATGAATACCACATTTGCAAGTTTAATTCCAAAGTTACTCCTGGTTTATTTAAAATGTACATGTACAGTTCAAATTGGACCATTAACCGGTTCAAGTTATTACACAGAAACCAATTCATTAACACACATCACCAACTCTTATTGTCTAAGTGTTTACAAGGTGTTCTTTGCCTTTACTTTTGGGCACTGAAATAGAGCTCCACGATTTGGCAAATTGCAACGGGACATTTTCAGTCTTAACATATTCTGGAGGATAAACAAATATGATAGCAGGTCATAAAAACCCATATTTTTATAGTTGGCAGGTACACTCCATCTTTCAACCAGTACTTCATTAAATAACTAAGCTGTCAATAATGGATGCAGTAATACTGCATCCATTATTTACACAATTTCCAATAAACATAAGCCATTCATTACATTTTGGTGGTGCCTTTCTACACATTAAATTATACACACAAGATTTTGGGGGAATAAAGTTTTTAAAAAGGGGAAAAAATCACCCTCCAAAAAACCCCACAACAAAAAGCAAAAATCAGATATCCCACACAGAAACAAACTTTTGGTTTGTATTGATGCTACAGTACATTCTGCCACAGTGGATGCGCTGTGGGTTCAGTTAAAATTCTGTTTGCACCCATTTGCCCTATTCGTGCACAGACGTTCATCTGATGTGGATCAACTACGATGCGACAGGGCTACAAAGCACTATCTTCATTTCTTGAGTGTCGTAATCGGGTCATTTATAAGTTATGTCGAAAGTACCGAAGTAAATAGATAAGCAACAATAAGTTTACATGATTATTTGTGACCTGCTCTGCAAAAAAGGGTATTAAGTCACGCAATGCCAAAACACGTAATGGCCTGTTCTATTTGGAGAGGCAAAATTTCTTCAATATTGTGCTTTTGTATTTTTTCCTTTAATAGCTTCTATAATATTTATATTTTCAGAATTTGTGACTACAAACATGGATACTGATGAATAAATATGAAAAATTGATCATTCAGTAATCCTATAAAGCATTGCGTGTCCAGGCGCTACACTTTATGAGCTTTTTCTCAATAAGTGTTTTATTGAATCGGAAAATGCGGATATACAAATGTCTATATATATCTCTGGAATGCAGCGCACTACAGGGGTCATTCATATGTCAAATTGTAGCTTTTGATGTACAGAATCCAGCCATATCAAAACTCCTAACCTGAATACCCATTGTTCTAGAGCCAGTCACATTTGGTATTGAGGAGCGCTGTGCCAAATATGTGTTTGAATATCAAGTACTGAAGTTTGGAATAAAATATTTTAAAGTAAAATATACTGAAACAAGATTGGAAAGTCAACATTTTGCCAGCAAAATTGTATTCCTAACTTTATTTCAAGATGTTCAGAATAAAACTTTAAGGCAGCTGCCTGATGGGCCCAACAGTAAAACCAAAAGTTTCCTCTGCTCTGAATTATCGATCAACCCTATTTTCATGGCTTGACTCTAAGACTGATATCTGAAAAAACATCTTAATAAAACAAAATGCCTATATGGATGCTAGTTAGCGACTCACAAACAGAAATCTGAGTAACTGTTGGCAATTGCCAAATACGTTGCAAATTAGATGCTGCCATTTTTGAGCATTTGATATGACAGTACCTGAAATGCATGCACAGTGGTGATTGTGTCTTGACACTAATGTTAGACTCAACATGATTTCCCTTTTCCCTAAATCTGGACAGGACTGCTTGCATAACTCTTGAGTTGCACAGTGAGTCAACAACAACTCAGGATATCTTAAAAAAAAAAGTGTATTTACATGTACTCCAAAGCATCATTCATCAAGTAAGTTGTTCAAAGAACAGTTTAGTGACTACCGTGGTTTCAACATTCTTATCACATGCATCATATGCACAACTTCGGACTGGTACAGACATAAGGGATATTTTGAAATCCCTTGTCACTAAAAAATACGATCTACATGCAACTGGTGACTAAACTGTATACATGTACGTGTACTTCTGTGAAGGGAAAAACTCTCAATATGAAGAATGATCTAAAATGAAAAGATCCAAATGATTGTCCAATGTCTTTTGTCATGTGCCTGGCAGAAAGGGTACTCAGTCACTCTGTTAACACAATTATTAACACAATTTCAATGGTAACAGCTTGCTTAATATGACTGTCTGCCAGGCAGCAGACCAACTGTGTGGATGTTCTAGAGCAAGACAAAGGCAGGAAAAGATGCATTCTTCATTGTTGTGGACCCCGGTGCCTAATGGTAGTTGATAGTTGTGTTCGTACCCCCAATTATTACGAAATTGTTGTTGCCTGTGATGTTGGTGGTCCTGGACGTGACACCGGCATGAGTTTTGGTTGTCGTGGTAACACCTCCATCCTTTTGCGATCTCACTGCAGCTGTTGTTGATGCTGCAGCTATACTTTGTCCCACTATGGAAACAATGACAATAATACCAATGTTTGGGTGAATAACAGCGAGGCTAAAATTAAGCTATACCAAGGAGCAATGTCTACTGAATCTGCAACTGAAATGGTGCAGGTGCAACTAATGCAAGCTGAGAAGCTGTTGGGGAATTGCCTGTCTACATATCACGTATACCATCATGCTCTGTCAACTTTAACCCTCCTTCCAGTCATAACAGTCAAAATATACAAGTCAAAATATTCCATTTTGAAACAAGGTCTTAGGGCTTCACTTAAATCTATTGGTCAGCACATGAAATCTGCATCCACTTTGACTAGATGTGCACCATGCGATCGCACACGTTTAGTTCCAGATTAGGAAATAGTCTCAATTGTTTTTACTGTTTTTTTGTGTCCCATGGTTTCCAAAGATGGGCACCTGGGACTTGTATCACATCTCCTCTATCCCCTCCCTCTTCCAATAATATTATTGAGGTAAGCCCTGCCTCTCAATGGGTAAAAGGTCAAATGAATACAGCCATGTCAGGTCATGAGGTCTACTTACATACCTGCACCAGGCTGGGCTTCCTTTTTTATCTGAGCAGGCACTTGGACAGCATTGAGTTTCTGCACAATGTGTCTGTAGTCTTTCTGCAAGGCATTTTTGAAATGTTTTAAAGCATCTGGGCGAGAATTTGGTAGGATCTCCAGTAGCCTTTCGGTTCGTTTCTGTGGAACAACCGGGGACACACATAAAGTAATAACACAAGCATTGCATATTTTTACCACTGACCAAATCCTTTTCAAAAGCTAGGGCATGCCTGGTTGAAATGTACATGCATACGTATACATCAGGACAGCTATTGTTTATCATCGTTTTTCAGTTATTTATTGTGTGAGACACACCAAAATACAGAACGATGGCCTTTGGATAAGCTGTACTACTGCATACATGTACATGCACATTCCAAACAGCTACATGTATGCCTAGTTCATGTACATGTACTGTGAATTAAATGTACATGTAATGCATCAATTCTTCTTTATTTAATGGCAAAGGGCCTTAACTGTGTACCACATTCCCTCCAACCATGCTATCATCACCACTATGGCTCATTATCGTTGGGGGGAGAGAAGCTTTCAGATTGCAGCATCCAAACTTTGGAACTCTTTACCGGAATCTGTGAAACTATTGAGATCACTTGACACATTCACGGACAGATTAAAATCATCTTTGCATAAACAGGCATTTAGTTAACATTTCCTCAACTTATCATTATTGGATGTCTTCATTTATTAGCACCATGAGCGCTGTTCATGGTGGATGCTGGCACTCTATAAATGTTCATTATTATCATTATTATTACTTTCTTACCCTTGATGTTTTTTCTGCTCTGATTTCTTCATCATCATCTGGATCTAGGACTTCAGCTTCGATGAGGTGATCCAGGACATACTTGGCATCCAGGTTATCTGTGATGTATCCACTGATGCTACTGAGGGAATATTTGTCAGCTTCATCCATATTTGATGACCCCCTGCAGTCATGGACATGACAGAAGTAACACCGACCACGCAACTGGAAACTCAGGGTTTTTCACAGTACATTATGATGCAACTTTTGGGGGTGAAACTGCATTCAAATCTGATTGCACTCCTTCAAAAATCTCCAAAGGGGGTCAATGTAACAGAGAGAATGTGCCCAGCTGTCACTCTGCAGTGCTTGACAAAACCTTTAGCCTAAGTTTAAAAAAAACTGAGTTTCTTTGTCCCTAGAACCATGAGGAACCTTGTTTTGTCTCTTACACAGAAGGAATGATGAGCTTCACCCCCAGAACTGTAGGGTTTCGATGTTCGCTGCCCTGTGTATGGTTGACATTGGACCCCACAGTTCTGCGGGTAGATGAGCCCACAGTGTCCTATTAAGAATTACTTACCGGCCTACTGAAGAATTCATGAGGTTGGACTTGGAGTGATAATCAATATTTACTTATTTTGTAGCAAAGCATGTACAGTGTACACCTATCCTAACCTTGACCTTGAGTAAATTGTCAGCATTTGTTAACAGCAGGGCACCACTCCTAACATGACTATGCTTATTGGTTATAGGAGTAGGAAAACCAAAAACCTCTATTTTTTGGACTGGTGCTACACATAAATTGATGACGACGACTCAATGCAGGATCAGAGGTAACTTGGTAAAATGGCAGGGTTTTAATTTTGAGGGAAATATGGGGTGAAATGATGAAACAAAACATGCTGAAAATGACCACGCACTATGCAGAAACAAACTTACACATATATACACATTGAAAACAAATACACTGTAGGCCAGGCCTGTGGCTGGACTGTGCAGTGATTGAATATCCCTTGCCTTTTTAAAAAAACACAACCAAAAGCCAGAAAACAAACACCTTTTTCCAGCAAATGTAAACAGTTTTAACTACCATGTCTGCATACACCACAACATGACCTGGCAATGCTAGTTCTAGCATGCCTGGGCACTGTCGCCAGCAAGGCCGGCATTCAAGCGCAACAAGCACCACCATGACTGTGCTGTCGAGCAACCCATGCCCGTTAGAAAAAAATCGCCAGCTGAGTGCTTCTGCTTTATACTGCAAACACCCCCAGAGGGTTACAAATGAGCAGGCGTAGTGTTGGCAGCAGGCAAACAATTTAATCATGAGTTAACAAACCAAATTTGAAAGTGTCGACAGTGGTGGCTTGCAAGATAAACTTGATGAAGTGAGGGAGTTGGTTCCGTTCAAGGACTGTCAGACTGTATAGAATAAAAGAGTAATTGAGGAGAAGGATAAATGTGGAGTTTGGAACACGGCCCTAGTTAACCTGTTGGATGTTTTGGGTAGTTCAGCTGTCATCCTGGAAAGCTACTACTACTACTACTAGGCCGTTAACACTCTTGTAGGCCTACAAGAAATTTAAACTGGGCCTACTATTTACAAAAGCGACAATATGCCCAGCGTTCTTCCAAGTTCCAGGGTCAACCACTACTTTTTGTACTAGTTTTTTTTGGTTTCGAGTCAACTCGGACCCAAACCAACTCGGACCCATGCCAACTCGGACCCACGACCAACTCGGACCCATGCCAACTCGGACCCAATACTAACCTGGACCCACAACCAATTCGGACCCACAACCAACTCGGACCCAATACTAACTCGGACCTACGACCAACTCGGACCCACCCTGAGTCAACTCGGACCCAACCCCAGGAGCGTGATTAACTTGTTGAAAATTTTGATTTTGTCCACTTTTACATTTTAACATTTGGTAAATGACACTTTTGCACTGCATGATGCCGAGATGTAACGTCCTCTCTACACGTAATGCAGGGAAACAGTGGCACAGGCTTCGAGTTTGAACAGGCATGCATGGTGGTTGAAAACGGTACAGGACTAGATTTGATATCAGTGATGTCTTGGAACAAGAGATAAGTAACCAACGAGTGTCGTATTTTTATGGAGGCACATTTCCTTTGATGTCTTATTTGCCGCTTGTAATCGGGAATGTTAATCAGTTACATGTATTAGCTTCCGAGGTACCAGCGTGATTGACCACAAGGACTGATTTCGTCACCTTCCATTCTTGAAACCCTATGATCGGGGAGTGGGAGCTTGGGACAACCAATGGGAGCAGCTTTTGGAGTGTGGTTGACAGTACCAAATCACTGATGCCCTTTCTCCAAAGTTTTTTGGTACTCCAGATCACCAGAGGAAATCAAATGAACTTTCACCAAACAGCCCCAAAAGTTTTCGATGCAATAAAAAGCCACAGATAAGCCCCTCTGATGTACACGTACATAAGAGATGCTGCATGCATACAACACATATTGCAGATATACCTCAATATCACCAACACTGACCTTTTATAGTGTCTCGTGGTGTTATCCCCCACCTCACTTTTCAAATTTTTTTGGCCTGGCAAGTCTTACACCTCCACCTTGCCTAATTCCCCCCCCCCCCGAATACCGGCAAAATTTAGGCAGATGGAGAAATTCATCCATTCAGGCCTAAACTGACTCTTCAAATAACTCAAATAGGTTGGAAATTTTGAACAACACAAATCAAATCATTTTAAAATAAAAATGTGGAATATTTCTCATTGTCTTAAACTTGGAAAAGGTTTGGAAGCGTCGTATGTCTGCCCGCAAGCTCATTATTAATATTTTGTAAGAACTGAGCGCATAGTTTTACTACTATTAGGGGGGTATCTTTGGGAAAAGGCGAATTAAAAAAATCATAAAATTGAAACGAAAAGTGATCGATCTGGTTATAATCTTGAATTTCCGGGGGAAAAAATAATCTTGAATTTCCAGCAAAAAAATAAAGGCCGACCTCTTCGCAATGTTCAAGAGTTGGCATTATTTTGGGCAATTTCGGAGTACGGGCGCGTACTTGGTGTAATGCAATCATAAGACTCAGTGGGTCCGAGTTGGTGTGGGTCCTAGTTGGTTATGGGTCCGAGTTGGTCGTGGGTCCGAGTTGGTCCTTGGTCCGAGTTGGCACGGGTCCGAGTTGGAATGGGTCCGAGTTGGTTTGGGTCCGAGTTGACCAGATCCCTTTTTTTCACCATGGTCGTTGCACTCAAAACGGGAAGTAGGCCTCAAGTGATTACTTTTTTGCGTACATGATTTGTAAATGAGAGTAAGCCTATGCAACTAAACCGACAAGCACCTACCTTTTTTTCTGCTGCAAATCCTGATTTTACTCAGACCAGCCAAAGACTTTTAGCAATCTTTTTTTTACATGTCTTGCGTGCTGCGCTGCATATGCGTTCCAATATATGACCGTATTGCGATCAGGGTAGTACATGGTGCGACAGCGAGTAATTCGCAGGGATCAGCACGCCCTCTTGTGATAGCAGTGTGGTTGCCGGCCAGCTGCCTCGCTAGCTACATGTAGATGCAGAATGCGGAAGTGACTTCAACCTTCAACCAATATACTTCGAACAGCGAGTGACTACTGTACCGGGGAAACGACACGAACTGTACTAAGCAACTTCCCAACCCAGAGGCTCGTTATCGGAAGTAGATATTCCTATTAGTATTTAGTAGCTTCACTATTTCAAATTAAACTTAGATTTAGTGTCATACGGTTGCAAATGCATGGACTTGTTGTGGCCGGTCATCCACAATCCGCAGATACATGAATCGATCCTCCTACCGGTAACCAGTAACTTATTCAGTTGAAGTTGGACAATATTCGGTTGTCATACGTGAGTCGCATGTTTCGCTGTGCTGGAAAAATTAATGCAGACCAAGGTCGCTGTTATCTTTCAACACACTGTGAATAGCATTTGGAATCCATACCTAACGTCAGACGATGGGAAAGAGAACAGTTCAAGATGCCATTGTGGATGACATCCAGAAAAGGAAATTTCCTACAAAACATTATGTAAGCTTAAGACCTGTGTGCATTTTATAAAGGCCTAAACATACGTGTATACTGTACTCAACTACATGTATGCTTGCTTGACCAGGATATTGTACATGTGTATTACAGGCCCTATAACTTGTATAAGAAAATGCTTTTAAGAAAACAGTTTTCTTCCGAATTTATAATCGGGTGCATGAGTGGAGGTGATAGCAATTTACTAGAATTTATCAAATTTGAAGAATTTTTTTAAAAAATGTTTAATGCAGAATTTATTAGAGTTGTTCAAGTGAGCATCGTTAGGGAACACACTGCTGAATTTGAGCCAAATTTGCACATGCCCTCGTTTTTGAAGTTCAAACGTAAATTTCATGACATTGAAATTGTTCAACAGCATGTGTTATTAAGGTAATCGTACCACTTTTTCATTGAATGAATTTAAAGTTCTTTAACAAAGAGATATGGCAACACTGCATGAGAAAACTTACATGGATGAAATGCTTCCCTGGCATGTTTTGGATGAATACTGTTGCGTGTGAGCCGCAGAAACGTGCAGAAGGTTAAGGAATTTTAGATTTTAGAAATTTGCCGTCGATAGTTTGGCCAGCCCAACTACAGCACTACAGTCGGCATGGTCCCAACTATCATTGGGACTGATGCCAAGTTGGGGCATAACGTGGCATAATAATCTCACCGTTTTTTTAGACTACTGGGCCGTGTGTTCTTTCCAATCTTAGACATTCACTTTCTGCAGTGTTCTAACCACATTAAGTGTTTAAAATACCATCAGGTGCTCGTTAATAACAGGACATCCTGTGTTTTAAATTAGGTTTTGTGCTGCAAAATGACATCTGTTACCTCACTTAGTGTTCCTTTAATTATACCATATTTAGAATTTTGAGTGGGAATTTACTGTACAAGAAAACTATGCAGTTACATTGTAAGTGGATCATACACCAATAGCTGTGCAGTCAATGGCATGAGCATTACCCGGGATAGATCATGTGTTCTTGGGCGAGAGTTCCATGTGGACATTACCAGTTTTTCCTTGAAGTGGTTTATTAGCCATCAGAAAGGGATAACACATCCTAAAAAGTCAAATTTTGCAGGGAAATATTGAAGAGTTTACTTAGAAAACACTTGAAATTTTTGTCTAGTGATGTCTGAATATAAAACTCTAGCCATCTTTCCGTATTCTTGTTTGGGATTGACCACTGGTACGCGTTGCCATGATTTTTTCCAGGGAGGAGGGCCAGGATTTTTTCAGGAGAGGCAAAAAACTGATGAAACATTAACGGTGGAAGAAGGTCTATTCTGAGGCACAACTCAGACGTGTAAATTTATAATTACAAAGTTAAATCACTTATGATAATACGTGTATTAATCCTGTCATCGTACATTTTTTCCAATTGTTGTAGTGTTTTTAAAAGGTGAAGTGAAAGTGGTAATTTTGTTTTTGATAATTGCAGTGTTTTTGTGGTTTATGTTTTGTGATGCCATGGATTGTTTGTATACCCATGAGCATATACATGTATATGCAATTTCCTGGATGGATTAAAATGAGCCTTCCTATGGTTTAACAGCACAAATATGCAGGAATGCCCACAGTCGCTCTTGTGCTTCTGTTTTCTGTATGGAACTGCACAGGTTCAATGTGTATACAGTGGGTTGCCAGCAGAAAATGACACAGGGTCTTTTGTGCAGTCCTCTTCACTGCAGTTGGTTTACTGCACAATTATGCACATGACACAGTGAGGCACAGTTGTTGGACAGTTAATGCAGTGCACAGTATGACACAGCTGTGGCCGCTTACTGACTGACCCAAAGAGTGACTTCAACATAGGAGGGTTTGTAATAACGTCGTTTGGATTGAATTGAATTGTTTGTTGAAGCAAACTGGTGATTTTCATCGCCTTTCCTCCTTTGTTTGTTTCTCTAACCTGTTCTTTATTTTCCCCTTTGTTTTCTTTTTCAACCCCCCCTCCCCGAGAAGCGGGCGGAGGGGACCAACTGGTGCCCCCCTCTGCAATGTCAAAGGTGCTTTTTTATAGTCATGCCAACATATATATGAAGGTATTCATGCAGGTTGTATCAGAGAAATGAAGCAATAAATTTAGGAAGGGCAAGAAGTTGTTCATTGTTCTGAAATTTTTAAATCCTTGACTTCCTCTTGTAACATTCTGTCTTTGCAGGAGTATGTCATTCATGTGTCATGGTCAGACAACTCAGTCAATGTCATCTATCGGCGGTACAGCAAATTTTTCGACTTACAGGTATTGGGAATAGGACCCCCCCAGATTTGATTTTCAGAAAGATCACTTCTCGGAATTTTTTTCCATGTGTGACTCGACACATAAATTTACGTTTTGAGGTTGAAGGGATGCTGCACATGTACATATGCTATCCGAAATTGTTCGTTTTGCTTAAGTTCAGTTCATATACTTTGGCTAAAATTGCCAAACTGAAGCATTTATGTAATGCAGTGGCATAACTACCGGGGGGAGGGGGCACATGGGGGACAGAGCTCTATATAGAGAGAGTAGTGCTAACTTCAGATTTTGGATCCACAATGGGTGTTCATTATGTGTACAGTACAGCATGCAGTGCTGATTGTCCATGTGCACTGGCACATAATCTATCATATTGGTTCCAACTAATGAGACACTCACGTCACAACTCATTCTATAAACAGCTCTCATGGGGCGGGGCACAGGCTTCCCTGCTTGAGGCCGGTATCCCCCCTGCATGTGCCCCCTGCTCAGAAATTAGAGAATAAAACCTGCCTTTAATCCATTATGGTCAGTGTTTCAGTTGTAACTTAATCCATTGAGTGCCCTCCACCAGAAAATGAGGGCCCCCAAATGCCCCTTTCCCCCTGCAAGATACTGTTATATATGATATATTTTAGTTTGCTGTCAATCCAATGATGTCAATTTCAAATTGCGTGTAGTGCTTCCCATCAACTGCCACAGGCCAACTACTCACCATGTCTATACTTGGCTAAAAATGTTCATTAGCTCAACGCTTGTTTTTAAAATGAAATTATAGTGTATGTGATACACATTTACATGTACATGAACATATTTTCTGTCAGCTTCACATCTACATTCATCTACATGTAGACTGTACAGTGTACTTGTACATGTATGCATGTGGGCTGGCTTAAAGGAATAGCTGCTCATTATTTCATAATTCAAGATACTCATCCAATGTACATGTACATGTTGCTGTGCTAAACAACAATGCATAAAAATAAATTAAATCCTAATACATTCCTGCATTCTGCTCAGATCAAAATCCTTCTAGTGACATTAAATGGTGAAGTTTTCAAAGTGACATAATCACAGGTTAGACGTTTTGAAGTGGTAAAAATAATGACATTGTGGATGTGGGTCTCTTTAATGTTAAAAAGATTACAAGATATAAATATTGTCTCTTTTCTATATATGCCTTTCTCCGACAAACTGAAGCGTTGAATTGTGATTTGTTTTGTTTTGGTTTCTCCCCGGCAATTGATTTTTCAGACGAAACTGCTGAGTTTATTTCCTGAGGAAGCTGGAGCCAAGAACCCAACCCAGCGAATGATCCCTTTCCTACCGGGTGAGTTGTGTCATATGATAGTTTTAGTTTTAATTTCCAATGTGTTTTCCGTTCACTTGTGGCAGACAGAAAGTTGGAAATAGAGATGACTTTTCAGAAGTGCTGGTCAGTACTCCTTGTGTACGTAATGTTTCACTAAAGTGAAAGATAATTTTTGAGTGATGCACAAAGTGTATTTACAGGTACGTTAAATTGCTGATACTTGAATTTCCAGATCCTTCAAAGTCCATTTCAGAAAGGGTTTTTGACTTGCTGTCATAGCTTTCACGGGATGTTGGGAAGGGCAGATGGCTTTCAAAGAATTTTTTGAAGGAAATATTTAACAGCTACACACTTACCACAAATTATTTTGTGTTGCGTGCTGTCCAATGAATCTATTCAGGCACGTGTCACATGGTACACGTGTCACATGCACGTGGGAGTGGTGACCCCCGGGTTTTGTTTAAATTAATTCCTTCCACTGGGTGCTTGACAAAGAGCTAGGTCATGTGTCCTGAAATAGCTGCCCTTCCCAGGATATTGTAAGGAGCAAACTTAAGAGATGTGGAATATTCTGTGGGATTCCAACTGGGAGAAGATACATGTAAGAACCTTATTGTTTCCTCTTTGAAACATTAAGGGTGAGTTTGCCGGCCGTTTGTCTTGCACATGTACATGTATGCTCATGAACAGCTCTTGTTCGTGGGTCAGCCTCTTGAATGCTAGGAACGTACAATTGGTTGTTGCTGGTATCTGTGATGAGCAACATGCAACATGGCGGCATCCATATAATGTTCCAAGGGTTCATGTTTGGATTTCCAGGCTGCATTCTTTCCTCTTTCCAAGGAACATTCGTTTCTGTGTTATATGAAAGTATAAATATTAATTTTGCAAAATTTTTCCATCATCTCCTCCTTTGGCTATCCCGCAATTTCTGCACTTCAAAAACAAAAATCCCATGCCTTTCTCTGTCATGTCTGTGTGTTTGTGCAAAACACTGACGGGGTTATTTTGTGTTATCCTGTTCCAAGAATGGTTTTTTCAGGTCGTGTTCTTGCTGTTTGAGTGCTAGAACAGGAGACCCTTTTCAAGAACGGGCTACCTGAACTCAAATGAAAGCTGGAGTACGGTGAACGTCCCAGTGTCTGTTTGTCCTTGCTAGTGTCAATTTATACAGTGCAGTGAGTGCATTGTGAGTCACCAGCAAAGATGTGCCTGCATTTTAGTTGCAGAATTGTGATAAACATTCTATGGCCTGTTCTGTCCATTTTAATTTTGTACCCAGATATGTACATTGTTCTTACCAATTACACGAAGAACACTGACTTGAAACTCCAAGTAAACCTCAGTCACTTTTCTTTGGTTCACTGGGAAAAAGAGAGAGTGAGAAAAAACCTCATTTTGAATTCTGCGAGTAAGATTTCTGGTGTCTCTTTCAGAAAACAAAATATGAGCAGAGAAGTTCCTTTAGAGTACTGGGATTGTAACTTGTGTTTCTAGGACATGTTTGCTTTGGCAGAAAAGATCATCACTATGTTTAGTTGAGTGGAAAATATCAACTTCACTATATTTAGTAGTTACTCTGTGAATGG